GCTCCAAGCGGCTCCCGGAGCCCCCGAGCGGGGTCCCCATCCCCGCGGTCCCCGCTCCGACATTTGCCGGTTTTGCAGCTTTTTTCCTCCCCAGGCTCGCTGCGATGCGTCCCGGAGCGGGACCTGCGGAGCAGGACGCGCCGGATGGAGTTTAAACTTTCTTGTTGTTGTTTTTAAACTGTTTTTAATCAGGCCCCCTCCCAGCCCACCCGGCAAACCGAGCGGACGTCCAGGATGGGCGTGAAACGAAATCGGGAGCCTCTGCCGCGATGAGAGCTCGGCTGCTGCCACAGAGGAGTCCCACGAAGCAGGCGGAGGTCCAGGGATCAGAAGGATTACAAAAGCGTAAACCCTAGAAATTAGGCCCGGATTAACCTGCCTCCGTTTACAGGCTCACGCTTTATCAAAAGGCCTCTTCTTATTTGGGTTCCCCTCCGTCTTTCACACACGAGCTGGTTTGGGAAGGGCCCTCAGCAAGCTCAGCTGCAGAAAGGATGAAGGACGCATCTCTGTGGCCTCTCTGCCACGACAAGCCTGAAATATGTCTAATTCTTCCCTAATGAAGAGCTGTCTCTCTGTTTTCACACTTCTAAAGACATTTTTTTTCTTGGAAAGGGTTTCCTCTGGGAGAGCACCTAAAACTTTCCCTGGAACCTGAACATTTTCTAGTGCCTCATCCCAAAGCGCCCAGGCCCGGCCCCGTCCTCCTCCTCCTCAGGGAGGAGGCAGCACCCTCCCAGGGCTCCAAAACCCCCATCCCTCCGCTGTCCCCCCAAACCCCCGTCCCCCCAAACCACCTACTTGCAGAGACCAGCGGAGCACCCGGGAGTGTCGCACAGCGAAGGCACGACCCCGGAGCAGCGGCAGGGAGGAGTTTTATCCTGGGAGTTTCCAGCTAATTTAGGTATTTTGGTCTCAGCTGACTCCAGTAAACATCAGCTGATGGGGGAAGGCACCAGCTCAGGACTGGAACCGCAGCTGACAGGTCTCTGGAGAGCTCAACAGACCCGACCCCCTTTTCAGTAAGGAGTGCAGGCTTTAAGGAGAAACCAGCCAGCTTCTGCTCCCCCGTGAGCTGAGTCCTCTTCACAGCACGGACCAGCGCGGCCTCGCCCGGCCCCCGAGCACAGCTGCTGAGCGGAGCCGCCAGGCTGATCGCAAACCTCATCCCCAGAACTGAGATAAAATCCCCTTCACCAGCACGTGCACGCAGAGCTCCGAGGGGCCGCACGGTAACCGCGTCCGCGAGGCGCCTCGGCGGCGTGGCGGGAGGAGACGCTGCCAGCAGGGCTGTGAAGCTCTTGGTGAGGAGCCGGCTGGAGCCCGGGGCGCCATTTGAGGGTGAACCCAGCGCTACAGGGCTGGAGCGGGGGGGCTCGGCTGCCTCGCCCCAGGGCCTCACCTTAAACCCCTTCCCAGCCTGCCGGCGGGCTAAACTCCCACTTTCTACGCTTGTTTTTCATGGTAATAGCACACTTTTCCACAAGCCAAGTCTGTTAATCTCAGCCTGAGCTCTGTTCTCGGGGATGACGGGGGTCAGGACCCCGTGCCTGAGCTGCAGAGGGTGAAGCCCACGGACTCCCCAAAGCACCACGGCAGAGCCACCCTCAGCACCGCCGCCACCCCCGGGACCACCAGCGGCGGCCGTGCCCCCGGGGCAGGACGTCAGAACCAGCCTTGGGGCGGCACTGGCCCCCCGGCAGCCAGATTCCAGTGTAGGAGGGACTGATGCTGCTGGGCGCCAGCGCCAGACACCTGCAGCCAAGGGGAACAGGGACAGAAGATGGCCAGGGGAACGAAGAAGGGATCGACCGCATCTCACAAAGAAAAAGAGCTTTATTTAACTTAAACACGAAGGCCATGGAAACGAGACCAGAAAGATGTTTTCTAACACTGAAAGCCCTGAGGCTCAAGCCCTTCTTTTCAAAAGTGGGAAGGGTAGAAAACCCTTGTAGAGTTGCTCTCTGCAACCACCTGAGAGGAGGCTGTAGCCAGGTGGGGGTCGGTCTCTTCTCCCAAGTAACAAGCGATAGGACGAGAGGAAACGGCCTCAAGCTGCGCCAGGGGAGGTTTAGGTTGGATATTAGGAAAAACTTCACTGAAAGAGTAGTCAGGCCCTGGCACAGGCTGCCCAGGGAAGTGGTTGAGTCCCCACCCCTGGAGGTATTTAAAAGACGGGTGGACGTGGTGCTTGAGGATGTGGTTTAGTGGTGGACTTGGCAGTGCTGGGTTAACGGTTGGACTCGGTGATCTTAAGGGTCTTTTCCAACCTTAACGATTCTATGAAAACCCGACTGCTTGGGAAGAGCTCCGCCTCAGGAACTCCACAGCCGCCTAAGATCCCCGAGGAGAGCCCGGTTGCGTGGCACCTTGCGAGCCGCAGCTTTGAACAGGAACGGCTTCGCGCGGCAGCGCGGGGGCCTACAGGGCAGCGCTGGGGGAGCTCAGCCCATCTCGAGCTCCCCGCGTCGGCCCTTTGCCCCTCCAACGCCCCGGCTGTGGGGGTCCCGATGCTTCGCCACGCACAGGGGCCCGATGCTGCTGCACCCCAAAACGTTCTTTTCTAGATCCAGTTCTCACTTCACAATTCACATCGTTCAGAGGTTAAACTTGGGTCTAAAGGACGACGTACGCATCAGGGACTCGTGCGCCCAAAACTGCTGTGTCCTCCCATGGAGACCCGACAACGCTGGGGATCAGGTCCTCACGCTGCAGGCAAAATTAATGTTTTGTTGTTGGTTTTAAAGTACCGCAGCTTCACTTAACAGCTCAGGACTGAAAGCCACAACAGCACCGACACATCCCAAAGCAAACCAGGAACAACCAAAGGTGACCCGTGCTGAAAAACAGCCTTTTGACAGCGAGACGGCAAAGAGGACTCATTTAATTTCAGCGAAATTAAAGAGAAACACACCGCTATCTAGAGAAACACCAAATCAATAGCCAGCGCCTCAGACCCTGCCGCTCTTCTGCGGAGCAACGCGGTCAAGTTCGGCTGTGGTGCGCTGCAAAAGGCGCAAGAGGAGGACTGGAGAACTCGGGTTTATCACAACTTTCCTGCTACCGTTTGCGGGGAACCGCAGCCAAGTCCTCCCCGCTGCAGCCTGCCCTTCGCTGGAGGGAGCTGCAGGGAGAACTAGGTGTTCCGACAAGTATCACTACGGAAAAACAATGGGAAATCGGCATCTGCTGCTCCTTCTCTCCCTCCACTGACCAAAAAACCCAACCCCGACAAACGGGCATAAAACGTGC